TGTCCGCTGGAACAGGTTCGCCTGTGAAAGGTTCTTGCTCCTTTGCAAGGGGTGCGTGACTGTCTCCGGGATTGCATTCCTGCCGCAGTGTGTAACTCTCTCAGCTTTGTTTTCCTTCTCGGGCAACCGTTGGATGAATGACCGGATTGGATTTCGGCGGTGTGGCAGCGATCTCTCTATTCAGTTGGGGCGGAGGGCATATGTCAGGCGCCAAAAATCAATTTCATGTCACATCCTTCGCTCCTCATGCTTTTGTTTCTTGTCCTCACGTGGTCAGCTCCCCGCTGACTGAGCAGCATGACCAGCATCATGTTCGCGCTTGAAGAATAATTCCCCAAAAGGTTTACTGTTAGGGCTTCTCACTTCTTTCTTAAGATGTGTCCCCCCGCTCTGTACTGCTGTGTCCGTCTCTGCCTTGCAATCCTTTACATTTATCTCCCAGCTCTGGACGTCGCAAGCTCTAGTTTCGATTTTGAAAACACAAACTGTTTGGGGTCTACGGTGGTGTAATTGTGCCACCAAGGGATCGATCATTCCCATTGCGGCCCGCCCTGAACTCAGGATGCATCTCAGGCATCAATCCTTTCAAGGCCTATTGCTTGACCAGAATTTGATCGCCGAGATTGCACAGCACTATGCATTCTGTCACCAGCAGTTTGGACCTCGGGCCATTGCCAGACACTAAAATGAGCAACATGTTGATTTGCTTCAATTTATGCACCCGTACAAAGAATGCATGCACTGGGCAACCAATCTAGGATCTGGTATTGTGCCGAGTCCAGTCCCAAAAGATTGAATCTTATGTCTGCGGAATGTTGTTTCAATTTACCATCCTGGCAGGCCACGCCATGCATCCACCGAATTTTCCGGTGATGCCTGTGATGAAATGTTCATGGCATGATACCTTTGATTCCAATGTATCTTCAGATATTCACCATCCTGCGTTGGAACATCGTCCGAAGCCCCCACAGCCTAGTCAATTTGTGACCCCTGCACAGACACAGCCAGGTAGAGCTGCAAACACCAAGACATGCTTGCATCGTTGCACGTTCTGCCAAGTTAGCTTCTTGAGTGCACAGGGTTTGACATAACATATGCACCAAGTTCACTCGACCTGCACTCCCTCAGACTCGACCGCAACAGCCCAGGATATGCCATCCAATTCATTGTCAACCTGTCGAGGTCGACCTTCCAAAGGCTCAGCTCCTGACACTCTGGCTCAGGTTCTCAGGTTACCAAGCGCTGGTCCGATCCCTAAGCCCATGACCGTGTTCAAGCGTCCTTTGTGTCTTGAAATGGTTCGGAGAAAAGCAGTTGCTGCCCACCTGAGAACGATACATCAGTTTGAACGGCCCAATGAACTTGACCTCAAGCCCAACCGTGACGTCATCCCAGGTCGCCTACCCTGCGCCCATTGCAAGGCCACCTTTAGCGTAGAGTTTGCACTGCGGACACACTTCCAAAAGGCCTCCTGTCCGGTTAAATTGCGTCAATTTGCCTTAGGTTTGCACTTTGGCCCTGTGTCAAGTTCTACTCCTTTGCCGCTCAGGCAGTCTATGCAAATCGACTTGTAAGCGCCGATCCGGAGTCTCGAAATCCTGACACATTCCTTTATGGCATGTTTAACAGGCATGGAATCTCTTGATCCGTCGTATCCCGCAGCTCATGTCTTCTGTGCCTGTTTGGCCTGAAATTCGACTAGCTTGGCACATCATTTTGGTGAATTGGATCGTGCATTGGCCAGCTTTGCCGCAGGTATGCCTTGATCTTTCATGGATATACAACCTGATGCAATACCTGTGCCAACCACCACCATCAATTTGAGTTGCTAGTTTATATCCTTTTTCACATTGGGCACACATTGGCCCAAAATATTTGCCTGGATCCTTCTTTGACTTCTCAGCATGTCCGAGAGCATGCAGCCCGACGATCAAAGCTTTGCGGATTTGATGGCCATTTGTGGGGAGCGCTTTGGAAAACGACCGAGAACGGACTCTACTGGGCCGTTCGACCGGAAACCTGGTCCACCTCGCTCCAACAGATCCTCCTGCTCCTCGGACTCTACGGGAGACGCGAGTTGACCATGATGTTAGCACGATTGCGCCTACGACAGGAAGACCAACTCAACGCCTTGGCGATGGACCGGTCGTTCATAGTATTTCTCCAATGTGGCAAAGGCAGCGTGATGCCTATGCTACTCCAGACATCCAAGGATTGGCATCACAATCGCCAGACCGATGGGGTGTGTCAAAGGCCTTTTCCATATCTAACGAAATTTGGAGACCTCCCCAAAGACCGGCTTTATCATCGTCTTTACGATGAGCAATGCAAAGCTCTCTCACCTGTCGGCAGTGAAGGGACACTGTCAGAAGACAATCACGCGTTCCTCGGTGAGGCATGTACGCGTACATGGGCATCTGACAAAGGGAGACGTGAGCCTGGTCAAGTAGCAAACGGCAATGGATGCTGGACATGACCTTATGCATCGGGTGTTGAAGACATATCGGTCTTAGTGCGGCCGGTTGATTGGGTGTTTTATTGGGCCTGGCTAGGTGGAGCCAGCCTGCTGACCAATGTGACGATGGTAGACTTCGTGTTCGACACCATGCATGATGGATACATGGAAACACAACGGGAGTAAGAATGGCTGCAAAATGTCTCCTAATCAAAGCAGGAAAGCCATCAGGGGCCAGTGCTTTCGTCACTGGAAGGTGTTGAAGTTCATGAAGTACATCAGCCTCGGTGAATGGCAAGCTAGTCAGGGCAGGAGGGGTTGAGATTGGTGCTTGAGAGTCCGTGAACAAATCTTGAAAATATTGAGTCAAACGTTCAAGTTCTTGGGCTTGGGACAATGGTGCACGATGCAAATCAAACATTTGAATCCGCCTGAACATTTGCTTTGGGCACAGAGTACGGATACGCTTGTATCAATCATGCAATCGATTCTGCAGGACGAAAGGGACACTCTCTGCAAGAAAGGTATCTAGGCGATTTTTACGGTTCTGTCTGCTTAGACGTCTGATGACCTGATGAATCTTCTCGAATCGAATGACAAATGACCAGCCCTTGAACAAGGCCTGCAATGAGACCAATCTGAGACGGAGCAATTGTCGTCGGGCAAACCACATTTGAGCTGCCAAGGATTTGACCTGGGAGCACATGGGACGTGTCTGACTCACCCTTGGGAAGTGGTTTTGACACAGTTGGCGTATTGCTTGTTCAACTTGGAAACATATGGAGACAGGATCACTCGACTGCGGTGAGGTGGTCAGGGTGCAAACTGTGTTCATGACTTCTGATTCGAAGGTGAGCCAATTCTCAATCTGTGACTGATATTCAGGCCTCAATCGATGGCGATCGATCGAATTAATCGATTGGTTTAGACGGGGAGGTGCAAACCATTTAGATAAGGACATGACCAGGGGATGGTGCACAGGTGCACTCCTTCCAACAGTTCGTTCGAACCGAGTCAGTACCTGAGCACGATGTTTGGTCCACTGGACTTGATGACGGCGAACAAACATGAAGTCTATTCGACTGGAATGATCCCCGTGTTTGAACGTAGGTTGCCATTGATGTTGACAATGAACTGCAACCAAGTCCAGATCACGAATCAAGGTTTGAAAGTCTTGTTTATCGCATTGGGTGGCCTAACCGTACTTGGGATCACGGGAATGCACATAAGGTGCGTCCGCGGTCAGGGGTGTGTTGCAATCACCTGCAAGGAGCAATATATGACTCTTTGGAACATGGTGAATGCATTGGCGGATGGCTTCAAAAACCTAGAATTTATTTTGAAGGAGGGTGTGACGATCTTTCAAAGAACTCCAGGAGTGCTGATAAATATAAATAATATCATGGATACGGGTTAAATGCAGGCGAACATGGATGAGCTGGCCTGGACACAATTCATTCCAGGCAAGCTAATCAGGGCGCAGCAAGCGTCGACGGATCATACAAAGGACAATGGCTCGATGGCCATGTGAATGCAACATATATACTGAAGCACCATCCAATTTCTTGCAAAATAGCCGCATCATACGATGTCTAAGAGAGCCAGGTCACCCATTCGTCCAGCAGTAGCCCATTAAAGGCATTCCAACAGAACACATTCAAGGATTCGATAAGTTTGGAGTCGAAGAGCTAACCTTCATAGTTGGTATATTAGCATCTTAAATCAATTATTGACGAATCCTAAAAAAGATGTTGGAATACCAAAAATCCTTGCCACGATATTATGTGCAGCCATATTTAAAGGCCCGCTTACAACCTCTATAAAAATTCCTTTTAATTCTTTTGCATCTGCATAGATTTCACCACAATTAGAGCGTAGCCTAATGTCGTCCAAACCTCGTAAATTTTCGCGCCTAGCCGTATATTAAACGGCACGACTACGACGCTCGATCTCTAACCGAAAGAAAGAGGGCATTGTAATCTCATAAAACTAGAAGAATATAATAATAATCCTCGCGCTAAGTCCAATTTTAAAAACTAAACCTATATATACCATACCCCCTAAATTTGCGAGCAAGTATCTCAACGATCCAAATATCAAAATCAATAGCAAAATCGTAATCACCAAAAAAGAAATAAAAACACATACACGAAAAAATACGAGAAACAATTACCGAACTTAAAACTAAAATAACGCTTATATCAATCGATTTCATTCAACATTCAAATAAATATACAAATACAATAACACATTATAATTATAATATTTTTATATCCATTATAATACGTCTTAACAAAATTACAATTTTTAGTAAAAATCATATCATTTTCCATAAAAACGAAACCCTCAACATAAATTTAAAATCGTACCATAACTAAATAAATCAACCAATAATTTTATCCATCGCTCATATATATATATATATTTTTTTCAATTAACATATAAATTATTAATATTTATAGAAACATATATACCGATCTTTAAAACTTCATTTATTTCCTAAAAAATATTATAAATAAATAAAACATACATTTATTAAATTAACTTTTTTGCAATGCATGAATTCATAGAACAATATTTCCACCTCAGCATACAGTACAAAACGGTTGTTAATAGCTCCCAAATACAGCAATTTAGGTTTGCATCACAACGCAACAAGAATGAAAAGGCCCCCAAGTGGGTGTTGTAGGGATGTCCCGACTTTTAAAGTCCATGATCAGCAAGCGCCTTTTCACCCGATGGCCGCGGTTTCGTTCAAAAAACGCCGCCAACACCTTTGCTCAGACCTCACCAGGACCAGGTTCAGCAGCCTCGATCACCTGAAGTGGAAAGACTAGGAAGGATCAGGAAAGCTCCAATGGCAAAACCTGTGCTCCAGTCTTACACCAAGTAACAACCCAACCGGTCATGTGGATTGCGTTTGAAGGTTCAAAACATTTGGAGTCGCTCGGATTCACATGCCCGAAGCAAAAAAGGCGATTCATCCAGCAGGTTTCAGGTCTGCTGGCCTCCCAAAGGGCAAAGCCATTTGTGTTCACGTTGCTGAAGTTGACTCGGTCGAACTTCACCTCAATGCCACGTGTCAAGTCCAGTTCAGCCAGCCGATCCAGTCCAACAATTCTTCGCGTGCGAAACATGAACAACTGTCATCCCTTTGCTTGCAAAGGTGATGAAGAACTTTCCAATACAATCCAACACGCGAGTTCTTATTGGGTTTGAACTTGGTTTTGTGGGTACGGTTATAGGTGATTCAATAGGTTTTGTTTCTTCCTTTCTTTTTTAATTTCCTTCCTTTGATACCCCCACCAGTGATATTCCGGAGGCTTCGTGATACTCCCGCCTCGGATCAACATTCGGCCCTTTACCACGCGGTTTTTACGTTCGAGCTACCCCTTGGCATTTCCTGAAACGGATCTCCGTGAATTCAAGTTACATGTCCGCAGGTCCCCCCCTCAATTCTTGTCGAGATTCGTGGGTGGCGATGTTCCATAGTGTTAGCTTTCCAACAAATTCCAAAAGCATCCAAAGGCTGTAAAGGAATTAGTAACTAAGATGTAACAAGAAGCTATACACTAGGCGGAGGCCATCGCTCTTAGGTTGGAGGCCATCGCACGGTTGGAACAAGATCAAGCCTATCACCGATTGCCAGGTTCAAGGCTCCGGACGGTCACCGGGTACTTCACTTCGGGCTTCTGGTTGACGTTCACCACCTGACCCCTGGTCTGATACCTCGCCACACCGGCCGCGGTTTGAACGTCTCACCACGCGGCTGTGCAGCAAATACCACGAGTTCACGTCACTGAGCATGGCACCAGTAGGACTCGGGTCGAAGGATCTTGACCCAAGAGCCCTTCTTCGGTCCGACCCAAGGGGCCTTCTCCTGAGGAAGGAGGCGGAGGATAACAGTTATGGAGGCCTTCTCCGGTACTTCGGTGCAAAGTGATTGTGCGACCATGTTTTGACTCTTTCCCATCTCCCGGTGCCTTCTTCTTGGCCTTGGCCTGCACAAACATAACGGAGGCTTCTAATATTGACAGGAGCCTCGCTTTTCAGGTTGGGTGTATTTAGATTCTACACTGGGCCTCTGCTGAGAGAGCAGTGGAAGAGCTGCGGCCTGCAATCGTTGGTGCAGGTTGCATTGAGAATCAACAACAACTTTCCCTCGGAAACTGACTACTGGCAAGCCTTTCAAAAGTTCAGAAGCAACAGGATTTAGTGACCATTCAATTCTATTTTGAATCGCTGGACAGAATGTCTGAACGCTGCTACCGTGCCTGGAAGCCCGTTGCCCACAAAGCTAGTGCTGTGCAGCCCCAGTGCAGCTGCAACCTTTTAAACAAAACTGCTTTAATGAAAAACGACAAGGACAAAAACGATGTGTGGTCTGAAAGCTAGGGACCACTCTCCAGCCCTTGCATTGGATACGACAGGTCAACGTGTTGGAGTCAGAGATTGAAACCAGCAACGTGATGCAAGTGTGGCACATAGCTTAACAAATCATTGAGAGCTCAAAGGTCAAAAAACAAGTGGGGCTGTTGCTTATGTTCGAAGGTTGCATAGGAGTCACGTGCAAACAATTCGACCTTCTTCTATTGGTTGACATTCCGCGCATTTACCATGTGTTTCACATTGTTTCACGGACTCAGGCCCTCGCTACCAGAAGCACCAATCCCCGCAAACGCATGGCCTTGAAGAAACAGGCAGCGTCAAACGCTCCAGAATCACGATGGTCATCCTCTACTTGCATATTATGTGTTCTGTTGACCCAGTGATGCCTAAAGGACCTACTTGAGGTCTGTAGCTTTATCATGCTTTATATATCTGCATTTGGTTTTGAATGGATTGTTCTACTAGAAACTTACCAAGTAGGGTGAATGTTGTAGACCCTTCAGTTCATTTTGACTGGTATGTGCTTGACAGAACCGACAGCCTGTCATTAGACGATGTCATTCGACAGGACCCATTCGAGTGTTCCGAAGCCACTGAGATGGTCGGGCGGCGCAGGGCACAGCAGATCTCTGCTTTTTGGAGGAGAACGCAGTGTTTCGAATGGGTCATGTTAACCCGCAAAGGAGAAGGTAGACATCTGTTGCTCCGCCTAGTCTAGTCAACTCAGTCACAGTTCGGGCGAACCGGGCTCAACTTGGCCAGTACAGCCAGCACTGCAACGTGTTTCCCATCCACTGCCGTGAAAAGAAACAACGCGCACAGGGGCGGCTTGCTTGGGCTCCCGGCCATGTTCTTTTCACTGGAGTAAGTCCGGTGGGCGGGGGTTTGAGCGGCGGTTGGCTGCGAAGGTTTATGTAGCAACTCAATAGCTTCACGAATCACGTACAGTAGATGGTTTATGATGGTTTCAATTTCGTGGGTGATCTTCTTGTTTCAACATGTTAAGACTGCAACTTAGTTACAAAATAGACTATAATAGAGGGAAATAGCCTTTCTCCTGGGCCAAAACCAGTTTCCATCTTTCGTCTTCGCACGTCTTCGCTTAAGTCGAACGTCCAGCCATGGGAAAAAGAAGCGAAACTCAGGCTGTCACGCAAGTTGCGCAATTGAGACTCCACCTGGAGGCATAGCACAACGAGAAAAGCCTTTTTCTTCGCCTTCGAAGGATCCACAATGCGGTCCACCTTCGAAGGGTCCGCCCTGCCTTTTGGAGTTCTTCTTTGATGTTTTTGTACAAGCGGTATTCCTTCTCGATCGGCAGAATATCCTCAATGCGTTTCTCACACGTTTTCACCACAAAATCAACTCTTGGCAGCCAAAATCACTGATTTTTGTGTGAAAACAGGCAAACGGCTCGTTACATGGGTCGAGCGGCATGTCCGCATGTCCGACGCATCAGAGTAGATCGGACCCGTTCCGCCGCTAACACACCGCTGTCCTTGTGAAACCGGATCTTGCGGTGATGTTGAAGAACGAAATCTGGGGCAAGTAGCGGATTGGCGGTTACTTTCATCAAACTGATTGAAGGTTTGAACAGATTAGATGCCCGTTCAACCACAAAGGCCATCCATTTCCTTTGCAGCACTCCAGGCTTGCACTTCACTTGCTCGATTTCTCAAGTCACACGGGTGCTTCTCAGGCCCTCACTTTCTTGGAACTCTTTGAGTTTGGCTCGAATCGCACCTCAAAAGTGCCAAAACGTTTCAGCAAGCAATGTAATGTTGACTGATGATCAAAACCACATAAAGCCACTCTACCAGAATGGTCTCACAATGTATTACATTTCCATATGGTGGGTTTTACTGATCAACAGTCAACATTAGCACGTTCTTCACCTAATGAATAGCCAAAAACATGTGTTGCAGCAAAGGGCCTTTCTCCTGCTGGAGTGAGTTGGCCCGTGCCTCATGGCGCATGGCGACCATCGGCTCGACCATCGACCCACCGGAGATGACTCGCCTCCAACTGCCCGATTTGTTGTTCCGCCTTTTCTCGGGAAGACCTCCTGAGCCACGTGAACAACACACAAGCTGAAGAAATCGTCCTCTTCCCATGGCATACTCAGGTCGTTGCTTGTTACTTCCCGATCGCCTTAGCCGACCACAAACACTAAAGAAACATGCACAGTCACATGCACCGTAGAGACCGTAGTCATTTAGAATCCAATCAATCTACGGCCGGGTTGATCCAGGCAAACCCTGAAATATCCTGAAATCCTTTGCGTTGGGATCTTTGGCTTCCTGAGAAACGTCTGACATGGCAGCCTTTCCTCACGTATTTCAGCAATGCAGCATTGTGAGGGTCGCTGGGTGGCCCATGCGTTGGGCTTTACACCTTCGGGACTTCAATGAGGTTCGCGACTAGGGGAAAAGGCCAAGTGTGAGTAAGAAGGGCATCGCGGCATCGTAGCGATGCACTTGTTACTAGCAATGCCCCTGCTGGTGTCGGTCTTGTCACCGGCGACCGGTTGACGACCGGTCGCTTCTGAGCTCCGCACGAATCGCTTCCAGGTCTGACCGAGGGAGCCCAAAACGACGCGACGTTTTCGTGAGGAACTCCGTGCGTCTCAAAGGAGCAACAATGAGCAACATGTGCCTTTGACCTGTTTTGCCATGTTTCACTTGTGGTGCGAGACCTGTGGGGGGTCAGATTTGTTCTGAGACAAAGCCACATCAAGTTGCTAACCACTAATGGTTGATGCAAGGCATCAGTAGCGTCTGATTTTACTGAAAAGAAAACAGCGCCTGGCCAGCAAGTCATCATCGCTGTCTTGTTCTGGCATACAACACAGCCATAAAACAAAAGCTCGGCCAGTCCGATGCAATTTTCTGGTGTCAAATGCATCTTTACAAGGATTCAGGATTCGGTTTGGTCGGTCGGCTAGAGTGGCTGAGCAGGGATTCTTCAACTGGCCTCGTGCTCCTCCTGAGTCTGCACTGGCGAGCTGGTTCTTCAACCGCCTCGCAAAGCAAAAACCATGGGCAGTGAAAAGCACACATTTCTGAATCATTATTCCGCTCTATGAGTTCTAGCCCCCACCTGTAGTACAAATACAAAGGTCTCATCACCTCCTTCTGTGAATGATTTGGAAGCACCTTGAACCTGAGGCAAGTGAGTTTGGCCCCACTGTTGGGCAGGTTCGGGTGGTGCAAAACTCTAGGCAGTCAAACTGTTTCTTCCAATCCGTGTCATAGCGCTTCAGCTCCTGCAGGGCATGATTCTGCAAATCAAAGGCATCTTGCGCGATCCGAATCATAAAAACCCTGTTCTTTTTTCAAGATAAAGAAAGGTGTTCTGCACGCCCGTCCGCTTTGACACGCTTCTTTTCGTGGCTGAGCTCTGATTTGCCTGCATCAAGGAACCACGTATGCGTTCGATGCGTTGATGTGGAGAGACCCACAATGTACATTCGTACAAGAACATGATGAGAATGAACGCAATCAAACAATTGAACAACACACACACACTCGACAAGTTAGGACGTACATGAACGTACAGTGGGAATGCCCAGCCGCCAGCCCCGAAGAAACTTAGTGAGTAGTCCAGGTACAGCTAGACATGAGGAACAAACAGGTCTCGAGTCAGTAACTGCACCATTATGGCTTAGCCACGACATAAACCATGCAACCAATTTAAAGAATTCGACAGCGTGATCAACACTTCTTGCAGGTACGTACCAACACACCCACAAAACTCTAGGCCAGCGCCCCTGCGAAAGCCACACTCCGATATGGACCAGGAAAACCACGTGTTTGTATAGGAAAAAAGTCTTTCCAGTCGTAATCTTCCACTTCCATGACTGTTTCAGGGAGTGTAACTAACCCACTTTGCTGGACAGGTTTCTCCAAGTCCCAGGCTCAAACCGGTTATTCTCCTTGAGCTGAGCATCTCCTAGCGGAGCATCGACTGGTCAAACCACAAGTCTAGAGCGATACCACATTCCCTTCGTCTTCAGCACTGGTCAACATTGTGACATGCATCAACTGCGATGGTGAACATATATGAACATGGACGCTAGTAGTAACAAGTGCCTCGCTAGTAGTAACATGCGTCTCTCAACCTCGAACGGGACAAACGGGGGTCCCGGTCTCACTCGTTCGGTCACCAGCCGCGCCCGGTCTCGACCGCTCCTCTGCGAGCTCTAAGCGACGCAAGGCACTGAGATAGCGCTGTTTCCGCTCCTGTGGTGGCCAAACGAACGGCCACCCTGCGGGTTGGCCGCCAGCATTTCTGCCCAACGGACAGGTTGGAAGTGATAGCATCCAAAAACTGTTTCGTGTGATGCACAACATGTCGTAATGTAGACTCTTGATGAAGAAAACCACCCATTTGGATTGGGACACGTCTTGATATGGTGGTTTTATTACGTTCATTAATTAAGTGGTCCTATCCGACAATATCCACAATGGTGCATTGATTCATATTTGCTTTCAGCATCCAGTCGATCATTGCTCCTCAGCACTCCAAGATAAGATCGGGCCTTCGCCAATGACATCACCCATCTCCGCCCTGGCGATATCGTTGGGCGACGCACGGAAACCGACCGCACGAACGTCAGACGACTGGGTGGAGCGAACGAACGAAGTCAGACGCGGTCTCCGCACCCGAACTCGTCAAGCTCCACATCATTGACCCACTGCGGAGGAATTGGCTTGACCTCGCTTGGCACGCCTCCAGACCCCGGCTTGTATGGGAAATGGAACGAACTGTGCACCACCCGGCGGACACTAAGATCAAGGCGCTATCAGGTACTACGGAGACATCAATGTTCATGAAAGGATGTACATAGTCATTTTTGAACCTGAGCTTGAAGCCGGTATATAAACGGAAGCAGTGTCTGCAACTGTCAACTGTGCCAGCTGAATGCAGCAAAGTGTTGCATTCATTCATTTTGTTTGTCTCTTGTTGTGTCTCACTCAGCTTCAAACAACTCTGAAACATAGAAAGTCAGACTCTCTCCAAGGACTTCTTTCACCTTGGAGAGCAGGAAACTATTTTTGACTCACAGTCAGCGGCTAGTACGACATAGTACAACTGTTCCGGATTGACCGCTTGATTTCTCTGGGCTATCTACATTCGCGACAGCCGCCATGTCAAGGCAGTGCTGCACGCGTGTTTGTGTGGGTGTGATATGCAGGATCAAATGCACACAAAATGATAAAGCAAGGACCACTCATTGCAAGGGCCACTATAGTAGTACACATACTACTGTCTTTGCAAAGCAAGCCATCATTCTAGGTTTGCGGCCAATGGGACTGAGCGAAGGGTTTTTCAGTATCATCCCATGAAAAAGGTGAAGAAGGAAGGCTGAGGGGCCCCAGTGAGGGGTGTTACACAGTGTGCTCGTGTCGGACGTGCAGAACTGCTACACTGCCGCTGCACGCGGCTACGGAAGATTTCAAGCCAACTCCAAAGCTCCATCGATACGCTCCTCACATGTTCAACTTGCAAATAATAGCAGCTTCTTGCTACTAGTAGTATGGCCAGGAGCTACTAATAGCGTTCTTGCTCCTAGTAGCGATGCCCGGTTTACTACTAGCGATGGCCTCCAACCTGATTTCAACTTGCAAATCATCTTTATCATTCAACAATTTTCACATCTTCCAATAATCAACTTGACTCCACCACTCTTTGGCAACTCGCAAGCGATGTTTCCGTGTCGCTGCCTCCAAGCCTTCTCCCGCGTTTGCGGAACGGCTTGTCACAGAGTCAATCAAGAGTATTCACGTTTCTACACTTCGTGTGGCTGAAATACAACAACCTTGGACCCACACGCTTTGGCCTGGTCAGTCTTGTACCAACGGGATTTGGATCTTACCTTCTTTTGCAAGCCATAGTCATTTGGCCCCTGAAGAATTGCGAGTTCCAAGCTTCCGTACTTCTCCGCTTTCCCTATTTCGCTTTCGCAGAGTCCCAGAATTTACGCATGAAGGCCTGGCGAGTTCAGGTCATACCCAGTCACCGGCCGCATGAAGTCCTTGGCCAAACTCCTGAGACTGCTGGGACTACAGTCCTCACCCAGAAACACCCAAAGGGTTCACTCTGTGGGTGTTGGGATAACATTGGGTGGGTCAAGGAATTGAGCAAGTAACTACAAACCAATCTGTCCTTGCTGCGCATTGGACATTCTCTGAATAACTGAAGAACTATATACTACTGTAATGCCCAACCAATGGAATGAATTCTCCTTGCGACTTGGAACATGTCGCTAAAACAGTTTGGCCAAGTCAGTCCTCTGCCTCGCGACAAGTGCTTCTCCAAAAGCTGCAACTCTCGCTTGTACAGTGCCTGCAAGCTCATTGCAAGTTCTTCTTGGTCAGACCAACACAAAGTGAACCTTTTGTAAACATGTTGAGACACGCATCTATCAATCGGTGCATCACTTTGGAGAAAGGATACTTGATCACCAGTGTATTTTTTGCGATGTTTTCAAAGTATTGGGTGATGCAGGAAGCTCCTTCCAACGGCAACAAAACCATGCTGGTACCTAGTGATGTCCCCTGACTGAAGAGGAACAATGGAACTAAATAAACATAAGACATGTGGGACACCTCCGCAATAAAGGAGACTCATCTTGGAAAGGGCCATGTTCCACCAACACATGTCATTGGGGGGGATGGAAATGGGTATCAAGATAGACAAATCAACGAAAATCCAATGGCTGGGCGTCTCTTTTTCTGATCATAGTTACATACCTCAATACGACCAGAGTGGCCAGACCTGAGTGACCTGGCTCACCTGACATTTCCATGGCTCAACAGCTTTACCTAGTGTTGCATCTGAAATGGTCTGTGGCTTTCTGGGCATCTGTAATTTCTATATACTGTGAAATTATCAACAATGTCATGAAGCAGAGTTCATGGTTTGTCATTCAATTCGTCTCCACCCCAATCTCTTTCATCTATTTGCAACGGTTTCCGCGACTTCTATCTCCAGCGACCACTCCAACAAACTCCAACAAATGCTGTTTGGTATCAAACCCCGCCAACTTTCTGCCAATCTTAAAATCTTAATGGGATTTGTTTGTCTTCTCAAAACCATCCTTGCAGGTATAGACTCAGCGATGATCCCCTACATTTGAATAACAATTCATCCTTCAATCGAATCGCCGTCAATCGAATGCGCAACCTCTGTAAGATCTCAAGCGACAACGGACCACACTAGAGATTGGCCAAGCCTCTGCTTTGAAGTCTTCTCAACGTACTGGCGGCAGGACAGGTAGTGCGGGAGAAAGTCAGAACTCCTTGGTCCTCAACATGGGAATCCAGCTTGGACAAACTCGATTCTTCCAAGTCTAGTGAGACCTGGGCGGGAATTTAAGACTCGAAATCAAGCTTGCTGGTTATCCTCAGAATCGTGACTGTCAAAGGCCCGCACATCTCAACGAATGTCAAACATACTGTACATTAATGCTCCGTCTTTCTGATTTCACTGAACCTGGACAGTATGGCGGTCTGACTAAATTCATTCTCTTGCGTGATGCCTGCTGCAGGACATGAGTCTCATCAAAAATGGATCGCGAAAGAATGCATGTTGTGCCCAAGGCCGCACAACAAGGCACATCAGCCACAGTAGCACTTCAAAAGGTCACTGTGCTTGTGCTTGTTCAAAACAGTCAAATGATATCCAGTAATTGGAATGGCCTTTTGACTATTGTTCAGCTCATCCTTCTTCTTTCTTCCCTTCACTTACTGGGATTCTGCATTCTTCGATTCTCCAAGTCTGGTGAAGGCCCTCTGGAACTTCCTCCTCAAAGTCATTGTCTTCAGGGTAGGAATATAGAAGGTCAAGTTCTCCAGGTGTAAAACATATACAAGCTTTGCGGATGAAGGCCAGGGAAGCCACGAAAAAAAGGAACACAACTGAAGTCTCTTGATGGCCGAGGCCATAGAGAATGCCAAGCAAATCAGCTGAACGAAGGTGTAGAAAGAGATAATTCTTTGGCTTCCAAGTGAGCCACAGCTCAACAAAACGATCACAGAGGTTGTTGCCAGGGATGCAATGCCCATGAAGAAAATACCCTGAAGAACTGCACGAGGAAAGAACTGGCCCCGCAAAGGGATCAGAAAGACCATCACCAAGTTTAAGTTGGCCGCAGCGGAGAGATAGATCACTGGTCTACATTGATAGAAAGGCAAAAGCCGAAGCAAGGGAGATGCCAGAGAAAAGTTTGCTAGTACGGGTCAATTCAGCGGTCGCAGCATCCAAGGTTGGACTGCTGGCCATTTGTGCCATCCAGGATCCGGGAAGCGGCATTCGAAAGTGGCTGAGGTAAAGGATCGTTGAGAGCTGGCAAAAGCTGTTTAACCATGGAACTCAAAGATTCTCAAAGAGTAGATGCTTCTGTCCTCCAGGAAGACCCGCTCGCCACATCTCCTCGGGTTTCTGTGCTGAAACTCCGGGCCCTACCCATTTCCTAAATTTGACCGGAACTGGAATGGAGTGCTGGGCGCAAAACATTGCAAAACCCAGCCTTTGATCCTGAATCTGAAAGAAGGGTGAGTGCTTGATGTTTTTTCTGCACTGAATGGGTTGAAAGCGACAAATCCTTCCGTCTCAATCCTCCTAACGATAAAATCTGGAAGTCTGAAGCAATTGCCCATCTCAGCCGGGGTTCCCCACACAGAATGCGCCAAAAACAAGTCCAGCAAATGGGTGGTCCATACCATCTGGCCGAGTCAAATGGTAGAAACGTCTAGAAACTGGAAACTGCCTGCCTCACGCATGCCTCGTTCTGAGTGTTCGTGAGACTTGCTTTTTTCCTCCCTCAAAATGCCTCAGCAACAGTTGCTTTCAAACCTTGGATCTAAAAACTGCCTCTCTGCTTGACCCCGAAAAAAATGACATTCAATCAACATCCGACAGACAAATGCGCCGCATTCGCGGGGCGTTTGAACACTCGCAGAAACTGACATGGTTCAAGGGAGGTGCTCAGGGAACACAGCCTTGGTTCGCGGTCCCCCCAGTCAATCCTGGTCCGTCCTCAAATCCAAGAATTTCACCCACCGATGGTTGAACTAAACATTCCCAAACCAAACCAAACATTCCCAAACCGCTCTCTACTCTCTCCACACCCTTCCGCGCCCCAGGTTACTACGTCACGTTCAGTACCTACCAATCGTCCGTTCAGTCGTTCCGCTCCTCCACCCTCCGAACGACTCGCCAAACCTCTCACCGACGCAAACGGCCCGACTCGTCTTCGTGTCGACGCCCTCCCCTGCCGCAGCTCGCGTCCTCGGTGTCGTCCGCCGTGCTCGGTGTCGCCACTCAAATCCGTCCTGGCGCGGTGCGGACGACGTCCGGGCGGTAGTTGTACAAGGCTTTAGCTTCTTCTGGTGATTTGTGGTGAGGTGTCCACATTTAGGGGATAAGTGTATCTCTCTCTCTATATGTATATTATACATATTGTGTAATATTGTGTATAGGGTTTTTACGTCCTTGATTGTTGGAGGGAGTATATTGTGTTCGACTCAGAATTCCGCAAGTTGCTGGTCAGGTCGATGGAACAGTGACCCATCGACCACTGAACAAGTACTGGAAATGGTGAAGCTGCAGGCGAAGTCTGAGTCGATACAGGCGAAGTCTGAGTCGATACGATTAGCCTGGGCCTGAAATCAAAAACTGCTCAAATTATTGACACAATCAATCACACATGCAAGCAAAGAGTAATACATAATACAACGTGACTGCACACGTCTGAAGCGAAGCGCTGTAACGTGTCAAGAAGGGCTTCCGAATGCTTCCGAGAATGGTGAAAGCTTGCATGAGCTAATGCATCCTAGAAAACAAATGTTTTGAGTATGTCTCCAGGTCCAGTCTGGAGCGAATCAATCAACCACCAGCAGCAAGATTCAAACATGACTTTCAACTTCAGTAGTGCACCTCAAGTGTATGCATGTGAATGCAAACACTCAACCCTTGAAGCCAATCTAAGACAGCACTAATCATAGGTTACAGATTCTAGCTGCAATTTGTTTCAATTCATAGCAAATGACATATCGTCCAACCGAGTTTGAGAAGGCTAGGAGCCTAGCTCCGGTTTTCAACCAAAAACTCTGGGTGCAAACCGCAATTTGGTTCTTCGTCTGTGATCCCGTGTCCTGGAGAAGCTTTGGCCACATCAAGGCAGCACAAATGGAAGGCCCAAGACCTGGCAGCTCTCGCCTCGCGCCCTACACGCTGCGATCTTCATCTTTTCCACACGGTTCGGAAGATCGCACCCAGTGGTCCCAAAGGCAAGAGGACGCGGACCCGAACGGAACGGAGCGATCGGAGGCTACGAACGTATCTCCTGGCCTTACGAACGGAGCGATCGGACGCTACGAACGGAACAAACCGAGTGTTCTCCGGGGTTCCCCAGAAAGTCCGACCCTACCGATGGTTTGATCTGAGGATGCGCTTCCCGAACCACGATGGAGGAGGCCTCCGTGAGGAGGGTGACTAGATGTGACTAGGGTTATACTAGGATATACTAGGTAATGTTGAGATAGGACTTGTGGCCAAAAGTGAGTTGTGATTTTCACGATCGTTTTACAACTCCTATCTCATTTTTACCTAGTATACAGCCAAATCTTTGGAAAAAAAACACCTTGGAACTCGTTGGCATCCATTGGACCTACCATCGTTAGCGGTCGAACGGTCCACCGAGCTGGGCATTCCGAGCGCATCACGCGCGAGACCCAGCTCCGAAGCTCGCGTGTCCTGGGGAGAGTTCGGCAGTTCTTGGGCTTTTCATCCAGAAACCTCCGAATCTGGGAATCTTGAACTAACGGTATACCTTCTTTTCTTTGGCTCATGGGACATTCATAGAGGCGGAAGACGATGGCACACGTCTCAGTCTCCTCGTTCTTGCGGCGGTTCTGGCGCCGCTTCTGCGCCGCATCCTCAGCCTCTTGCCTGAGTTTTGTGCGTGTGTGTGGGGTGGTGACGTGACTGTTTCTCATGGTATGTCTCACCACTACCGATTCTCCCGCTTGCAGGTCTTTGCCGCGTTGAGGACAATTTGCACTTCGCAGGATGAAACATTCGTTGATCACACATTTTCATGGATTGATCTGTCTCACCCATCGCACACCACGAATCGTTGCACCTCACAGCAACATGCAAAGTTCAACTTTGTTTCACGGTGTTTCTCGTTTCTTTGTCTGTTCTGTTGGACACCATGCCCACGACTCCACCGGACGGGTCATCGGCCTCAGCTGCTGCGCCAGCTCCACTGCCTTGGCCACCGCCGAGGTGTCCACCGGTGCGGTGTTCGCCTCGGCCATATATATGCGGCCAATGCGGCCGTCCGTCCGTTGCACAAACGATGAACATACATCATTGATCACAACAGCATTTGAATGCATTTGATGTCCAAAGAAACACACATATATGTATAATTATATAGTATAATAATGTACAGTATATAGTAATTACTCTTTTGGCTATATTCTTAAATTTATGGTTCATTGACTACTGTTCGGGACTTCTCCCTCACGTCGTTCCCTTGCTTAAGCGGCGGTCCTCCTCTCCGGAGCTGGCTTCAGACTGCCTTGGACGGCCAACTTGTTTCCTAAAGGGAAAATATGAACTTCGCTGCAAATATCAGTGATATCAGCACGCAAAAAGACACTTGGGGCAATTTCTCCAAGAACACATTTGTCAATTTGGTGAACTTGTGTGAACTTCTATTTCTGACGTAACATGAAATTGTCTGAACCTCAACTTTTATCAGCTGTATATGAAGATCGGCATTTAACTCTGAGCGGAACTGGGCCTTCTCATGCCGAGGGAATCCACAAAGGGCCAAAGAATTACATATTCACCACACACCACCAATCCATCACCACACACCCTTCTACTAGACATGAGAATAAGGCTTCGCTAGGTCCTAATTCAAAACCCCATCGGGCCGACAGCTGAGCCCATGGCGAGCTGTCCTCCGATGCAATGTGTCCCGGACCAAACAAAACGCTATTTGTTGTAAACTGAACAATCATTAAATATGAAGCCCTTCCAGCTTGGAACTTGTGCTCTTTTTCTGTGCAAGAGGCCAGTTTGGTGCAAGCAAAGCCATGCTGCATTTCACATGGCGTTCAACAGCAGCAATCGGCAGCAGCCGTGATTACCAGCACACCATGTTGCAATGGAATGTAAAGCATGTAACACCTGAAAACATGGATGACACAAAAAGCTCATGGCCTTCATCCAAGGCACTGCAGTCGCACCCTTGGACTTGCTAAAGTTGTGAAGCTGGGCAACAAGAACTGCTCAGTCTGCTCCAAACCTCTTCAATGTCACCCTCAAGGACTCCCATATACTCCACCCTAGTAGCGATGGCCTCCACCCTGATAGCGAAGGATGGCTTCACCTTAATAAATAGCGATGGATGGCCTCCAACCCAAGAGCGATGGCTGGCCTCCAACCTAAAAGCGATGGCCTCCAACCTAAGAGCCATGGCCTCCAACCTAAGTGCCATAGCCTCCAACCTAAGAGCGATGACGCCAGGGCCTCCAACCTATGAGCGACGGCCTCCAACCTATGAGCGATGGCCTCCAACCTAAGAGCGATGGCCTCCACCCTGATAGCGATGGATGGCTTCACCTAAATAAATAGCGATGGATGGAATCCAACCCAAGAGCGATGGCTGGCCTCCAACCTAAGAGCGACGGCCTCCAACCTAAGGGCGATGGCCTCCAACCTATGAGCGATGGCCTCCAACCTATGAGCGATGGATGGCCTCCAACCTATGAGCGACGGCCTCCAACCTAAGAGCGATGGCCTCCACCCTGACAGCGATGGATGGCCTCACCTTAATAGCGATGGATGGCCTCCACCCTGATAGCAATGGATGGCCTCCAACGTAAGGGCGATGGCCTCCAACCTACGAGCGATGGCCTCCAACCTATGAGCGACGGCCTCCAACCTATGAGCGACGGCCTCCAACCTAAGAGCGATGGCCT